GTATCCTTCTACTTTTGTTTTCTTTGAGAAGTAACATCTTCTATTTTGTGGTTTCCTTTGTTGTCATGATTGACCAGATAGCACCGATTTGAAGGCACCTTATGAAGAAACTACACGAATAGATTTAATAAATCCTGTTGTTTCTAGAACAGAAAACTTCAAGGATAATGTAACTTCTACACATGGGAATTTGATTGGAACAAATGAAAACTCATCCCTGCTCCCTCCTTTACCTCATTCAAATCGTTCTCTAATTGCTGGTATTTTTCCTCGACGTTCCCTTCCATCACCGCATCCATGCAAAAACTTTGCAATTCCGCCTCCGGCTCCAGCTAATGGAAAGCGAACTGGAGCACGTCGTAAGTTTTAGTTATTTAATTAGTTTTTCATGTCTACCATGATCCGCATGAATTTTTCACCTTCCTGTTAGAATGTCAGATTAATATTCTCCTCCCTTATTTTCCAGCGTGTCCAGTATGTTATATCCCTGTGGAGCAGGCTATTTCTAGTATGCCGAGTGCACCATCAATATCTCCCGTACTACGTAGTTTAACATATATTCGTGATGAAAATCCAATGAAAACAGAACCACATGGGGGGTCTGATTTTGGTGGATATCCTTCTTTAAGACAGAGAAATGATTCTTTTAATATAAAAGAGTCGATGACAGTTCACTGTGGGTATGTTTCACTTTCTTACCAGTTTTCATGTACTGATTGAATAAGTAATGAATCTAATGATGATTACTTTTCCAAAGATTTAAATTTTGATGTTCATCATATATGTATTCGTAGTTCCTAAAATTTTGAATTCGTTTGTTGTTGTAAATGCATACGCTCTTGTGTTCCGCTCTCCTGTACTTATTAGATTTGTTAAAGGAAGCAAACCTGGCAATCAGAGTGGCTTCGATATTGATGAAGCTGACCTTTTGGAGTTGGAGGAGTTTCATGAGGTCATTGTTGCATCAGCCATATTTGGTATGATGGTGCATTGCGATAGTTTTTCTTTCACTTTATTTTTATGGACATGGTTTTTTATTTGACTCATATTTACGTTTTCTTTTTTCTTTTGTAAAGGAAACTACGATGTACTACAGCAGCCTGTTAATATTAGTGAAGAATCGAAAAAAAGTGTTCCTTTCTACATGTTCATTGATGAAGAGACAGAAGCATATATGAAGAATTCTAGTCTCTTAAATGGCAAAAATAGGGTTGGCTTGTGGAGAATCATTGTTGTTCGTAATGTTCCTTATGCTGATTCAAGACGAAATGGCAAGGTCAGTTAAGTTCTCTCTCCCTCCCCAATTCGGTATCCACATCTGTGCCAACAATTTGAGAGTTTCAATGATATATTGGTTTCAAGATTCTTTCATGTTGATTTTTTTCCACTTGTAAGAATTGTTTCTCGTATTGAATCATTTTTTCATGAGGTTAGATTGAAGAATTGTTCCATGGAATTATTTGCATTGGCGAAAATGGTACTTAAACACAGCATAGAGTATGTTGTAGATTACTTATATATGGGCCGGCATTACTTATATATGGGCCTTTTATGTTTGCAAGGAAAACTGTTTTCATTAAGAATAATAGAAGTACAACTAGAAAGAGGTCATACAAAAACATAGGCCAAAATTAAGAACTGCGGCCACCAAAAAAATTACGAAAAGGACTCCAAGAAGTAGTGATCAAATTAAAAAACAGAAAATAATCACAAAAAGGCTTGGTTGTGTTGTCCCAAAGAGAAGCACTAAAATGAGCTACAACTCAAATCTATTTTAAAGAATCAAAATACTCAAAATTCTCCTATTTGTCTTACTAAATAATCCATGTGATAAGCAAAAAATCGACGATGTATATCTTGGAATATAGGATGTAAAATTACATATTCCATGATACCATGGCAATTGTGAGAAGGATCCAACCTCTGTTCCAAACAACTGGAAGAACCTAACCCAAATCTGAACAACAAATGCACATCTACAAAGCATAACTTTTACCAGCTTGAATGTGTGTATTGTTGTTATTAGCATCAATTTTCATAATCTGCCATAAACAACTCTGATAAAAGGCATACCATTTTGTAGCTACAGAAAAAGTCTTGGGATGCTTGGATCTTGGTCATTTCGTGGGTTCTTGGGTGGAAAGGCTGATGCGTTATTAACATGTTATATTAATGCTGATGATAATTGAAACTAATTTCATTTCATTTTTCATTCTTAACAAGATACTAACTTTTCAGTGATGAAATGAAAAGGAACAAGAAATCATTCAAAGATACAAACTCTCGAAAGAGTGAAAATGAATGAAAAAAACTAAATTTACAAAAAAATGAAAATGCTGAATACAAAGGACTAATAAAAGCACCCCTATTATTATAAATAAGATTAGGGGAATAATTAGAAAAGGTATCAACAAGAGAACAAGAAGCCTTGAACTTAGTTAAAGTGAGACATTCAAGCAAGATCTGTTCTTTCCTTTGAAAATCCTGAGTTCCTCTCGAACCATGACTCTGAAAGAAAGTTTTTCACAGCATTAATCCACAACAACAGAACCATTGAAGACGAATGAATAGGCCTGCAAAGCAAGTGAACAATGTTGTCTTTTGCTTTAAGATCGAAAACCCAATCAACTTTGAATTGATAGAGTAGAGAGGACCAACCTTGAGCAACGAAGGAACAATAGAAGAAAAGGCGACTTAAATCTTCCCCACTTGCCCCACAAAGAACACAAAAAGAAGGAAGCAAAGCGGCTGAGGGGAGCTTCTTTTGAATAATATCTGCTGTATTTGACTTCCCACGAAGGAGAATCCAAGAAAACACTTCATAGCCCTGTTTAGGACCTCATTTTCAGAAAATTTCAGAAACCTACTACTTTCCTCCTTATCTGATGATAACATTACGGGGGTACACAGGTAACGAAGTGGCAACCTTGTTGGCCTTGATATAGGCTTCCAACTTTTTGAAGTTCTTTTCTTCTCTGTTTCTTGTTTCTGCTACAGGAATGCCCTAATTAGTGCAACTTCTCATTCCTCGTAATAGTTGTGATTTGATGCTTAGGTGACAATTAAGAAGTGTGAATTGTTTCAATTTACTACTTAAAAATGGAAGGATCATAGATCATGATCGGCCAGTTTTTCTCTATTACTTTCTGTCTTCTTTTCCCACTATGCACTCATAATCAAATTTTAAAGTTGACGTCTCGCTGCTGTTATTATTATTATTAGTATTGTTATTAGTAGGCTTAATTCCTGTCAAAATCATTGAACTTTCACACTTCATTTTCTTCTTTATACTTTAGAATATCTTAATTTGGTATTTATAATTTCAAATATTTTGTTTTTTATGCTTAAAACCTTTTCTAAAAATTCATTTGGTTGTCATTGTTAAATTAAAATATTTCATTTAATGAAAATTTTATGCCACTCATTTCTACCCATTACCAAATTCTTGTAACTTAAAATACAAGTTTATGTAGTGCCACAAGGTTTTTGTTGGATGCAATACAAAAATTTAATGACAAAGATCAAATAATTTTTTATGCAAAGTTCGTGGATTGAAACAAAACATTTAGATTTATGTGAATCAAAATAGAATAAGTGCGAAAGTTGAGAGACAATTGACAAATATAAGAATAAAATCTTATTTTTATTGTTGATGCTACTGTTATTGTTACTAATTATTATCATTATGTTTTGAAATCATGAAAGTTCTGATGATCCAGAGTTCAATTTATTGGCATATTTAGTTATTCTGTTTGGAGACATCGATTCATGTCCACTAAAAACCCTAGAGAACATGGTTCACGTTCATAATCCCCAGCTAGCAAATTCAAAGTAAATAAGGCCATAACATTGTTGTATATAGGAAGAAAACCTTTGTGACCTTTATATCTCTTGACATTGGCTGCCAGCGTGGAAAGCAATCTGAGAACCCGGCAGATTAACATGATAGACAATTTAAAGAATCCAACTGATGAACTAGTTCTGTGGATGGATTAAATAGTTGAAATGTCAAGCTTTTATGCACCATAGTTCCACAGAAACTAAGAATATAACTTCGATTTTAGAAATAGTTAATAGGAGTGGACCGAGCTTAGCCCCAGAGTGAGTGTCATTACTAAAGTCCTGAGAACATCTGCTCTTTAGATGTAAATCTTACCCTGACATTTTTGCATTGAATTACTTTACTGCTGAAAAATTGATTAACAGATGTTTGTGTCCCGTTTATCTGAGGTCAATATATTAACAGGTTATACAGATTTTTTGTATTTGGTTGGGATTGAGATGGAAGATGATGGGAATTTCATTAGATTTTACTTCATCTAATTGTGGCAGATTCCCAAGCTTCTTCTGCATAGGCTTTTCCCTAACATTCAATACTCAATATGGATAGATGGAAAACTTCAGCTTGTTGTGGATCCATATCAAATACTTGAGAGGTATATCCAATGTTATATTTTCCGCGGGCCTTCATGCCTCTGAAGCATGAAATTATAAGTTGTTCGTTTTCAAAAGCTTCCCACTTACATTTCTATGATAACTTTTTCCCCATGTCTGGTTGTTGCTTTGGTTTGAATTTTCCATAGCATTTGCTGTTCTTCTGTTAATTCTTTTTGTTCCTGCAAACTATTTTTATCCATCAACATTTACTGCTCTATTTGTGCAGAAGTAATGACTGCTGTTACCTATAAGGTAAAATACACTGGTGCAATGTTAATCTGATACTCCAATTGTCTTCTTGACTCAACTGATTTAACGAGTCAAATAAATGAGATTCCGCGTTTATTACTCAGGAATTCTGCATATCTTATCCGATATTTTTTGAACTGTTAGACGCATTTTGTTTAATAAATCCAATTTGCCCTGGAAATTGTGCAATTCCAATAAAAAGCTATTTCAAGACTTGTTATGGATCTGATCGATTTTCATGTTTAGTGAGCGATCGATAACATTATTTCCGTTGAGCTTATAGTTGCTTTGTTGATCAATGTTTTATTCTATTGTATCTTTTGGATTTTTGTTGGCTTTTTTTCCCTTTCTTTCTATGCTCCCTTTAGGAGTTCGTTTCCTTGAACATTTTCTTCCTTTTCATATATTAATGAAAGGTTTGTTTCTTGTTAAAAAAAATAGCAAATTGCCCAGCGTTGTCTTTAGTGGGAAGCTTTGAAAATGCTTTGATGGATCTACAAGGCTCATCATTGGAGAATACTTTTTATGTCCTGCATTACATCTAAATGGACATAATAATGAGTTTGTTCTATTTATTCTTGTACATGATGTTTTACCCGTGGATTATGGATATTTGCTGACAATGATTCTCGTTTGTAGGTTCTATGCTCTGATGAAACTGTGGGATTGGTTTAAGCTTTATCTCAGTAAAGTACTTATAACTCTAATGTTTTAGTGCGTTAATTGTATTGACAGGTTCCTGTGGCGTCAAAATGCAACTTTTGCAATTTCAAGACACTATAAACGATTTGATGTCTTTGAAGAGGCTGATGCAAATAAGGCTGCTGGAAAGTATGACAATTCCTCCATTGATGAGCAGATTAATTTTTATGTTAGCGAGGGTCTAACACCATATTCTTTGGCTAAGCTTCCTATAACTAGTGGTACTGACTGATTCATTTCATGCACTACTTCTGTTTTTCCACACCTGCTTTATATGTGTGCAACTTTCTGTATGTTTCACATTTTTCCTTTGTGGCTCTGCATTGAACTTCCTACAGATGTTCCTGAAGGTTGTGTTCTAATCCGAGAACATATTCCAATAACGAATTTATTCACTTGCCTTTGGTTCAATGAAGTCGATCGTTTTACTTCAAGAGATCAGTTAAGCTTCTCCATGGTGAGAGATAAGATAATGTCAAGAGTCAATTGGGGCATTGACATGTTCTTGGACTGCGAAAGGCGCAATTTTGTAATACAGGTCCTGAACTCTTTTCTTCTGGTTAGAAAAATAAACAAAATCCCGATTGTATCAAACAAAGCACAGTTTAATTCAGTTTATTGGAACATATAGTTCTAAGAACATGGCTTTCACTGTTACAATATTGAGTTCCAGGACGTTTACCCCTTTTTCATTCGACCCAGTTGCTTGTTATCTTGATTCCAACTCCTTTTATACTTTTGAGAAAAATTGTTCTTGACATTCTGCTATTTTCCTTTCTACATTTACAGACATATCATAGAGAATTACTGGAACACATGCCACCTCCTTCCGTAGCAGTTATTCGCCATCCTCCACCACGGACGCCTGCTGGTCGTACTGTTCCAAAGCCTCCAGTTCATATTGTTCTAAAGGCTCCAGTAAAGAGAAATCCTTCCAAGCGAGGAAGGGGCGATAAGAGGTCCACTTCGAAGCGACACCGTAAAGTTACTCCTGGACATAGAGAGGATAATTTGTTCTAATTTAATTCATATAAAAAAGAGAATGTTCTTCTTTTTGCCCTTTTGACATTTTTAGTTTCATTCTCATTCACTCAAATTTTACATCTCAATACAGGGAGATCTGGTTTAGATGTAGAGCATGGTTTGATGGGACAAGATGATACCAATTTTGTACTGGAAGTTGTTGATATATATATATACACATATATATATTGGTTTCTGTTGTACATATGAAAGTTTATCCCTTTTATCTATATTTGTATGACTTAAATGTCTCGTATTTCTCGGAAAACTGGGTTCAATTCCATTATGTGAACCTACTTAATTCCAGGCCACATATCTACCATTGATGTACCAGATGATTCTTGTTAATGACCTGGAATGGAATTCCTGAATGCTTCCTCTGAAACAGATGTCTTAGTTATTTAGTGCTGGTTTTCTTGCAGCATACAAATATGAACACATCATATTAGAACTGTATCGGTGTACTATGTTTGTTTTCACATCTTTTAGTTGGTTTTGGACTTTTCGGATTTCTTCAAAATTTCTCTGGCTTTTGAAACTTCTAATGGCAGGGCAGGGCATTGCTGGATTTGTGATTGTGATGATCTCTCCGAACTGTATACGACTCCGATCCCCCAAATCAAGGAATGGGGCAAGAGTGGAGAATGCATCTTCGTCCAGGTTAGATCTCACCAGCTGCTCATCTTATCTTCTCTACGTTTTTGACAATTCATCTTTGTCTTAGTAGAGTCTTTCAGTGGTATGTTTCGTCCGCATAACTTCTTATCCTCCAATTCGAAGAAAAATCTCTCTTATGAGCTATTAAAAGAAGGGTGATAGAGAGACGTGGAAGGAAGACAGCCTCTCATGCATTACTAGACAGTTCGGAGAGCATTAAGACAAGTTGCTATTCCTAAGTGTCAGGCGAATGATATTTTTTCAAGGGGTGGGGTTTTTGAAATCCCAAAATTGGAGTCATTATAGTTGACTTAAGTTGTAGCTTTTTGCTGAATGCCCCAGTCTTCACTCATGGGCTAATTCTTTGAGAAGAAATCACAGTAGAGAATAAGCAGAGATTTTTCTTCAACAACATGATAATTTTCCACCATTTTCTACTCTTAGAAAAACTAAATAGTATGATCCCAAGTCTTCACTAATATTGTAGATTACATCATGATGGTAAATTATCCTTTTTAATGGAGGCCTAATGAGTTTCATTTCTTTTAAGCTAACATGAGCTCGAGCTCGGTGTGTTAAAGTAGATGTACTCCTTCCTTTCTGATCTAAAAAAAAAAAACTTTTCAAAATATAAAAACTAAATGAACATAAATATGTGCTTTTTTTGGGAGTAAGGATTTAGATTGTGAAGTTTAACTTGTAATGATTTAGTTTAACTTGTAAGGATTTAAAATTATAAAAACTATATTGCTATATGATAAAAAATAGTACTTAAATTTGATAAGATTTTTCGTAATAGGGATTAAATTGTTACAACTTTTAAACCATGGGACAAATTATTACATTAAAGTTTATGAGCTAAATTGTTATTAATTTGAAAATACAAAGACTAAAAACTAGAATTCAAAACTAAATCCTTACAAAGCATAGAACCAAAATATGTCTTTTAACCTAAAATTTAAAGACATTTTCTCCCTAAAAAAGGATTTCTTCTCCCAAATATTCCTTTGTTAGATTCTCAATATTTACTTGTAGATCTTTTGAGTTCAACACTTGAATAGAAAGGGTCAGGATGGAGGTCGAATTATCAACTTTGAAGATAGTAATAAGTATCTTATTTGGTAATATTCTCATTTTTCGTTCTTGTTCTCAATTTTGAGAACTATAATAGTTTGATAACTATTATTATTTCTCGTTTTTCATTTTTAAGGAACATTTCCAAAATTGTGTAACAAAATTTAAGTTTATTGTTTATTGTTCCATTTTTCAAAATTTTTTAAAATATAAATAAAAATATTAACTTACAAAATGCATAATAAATATTAAAAGATAAGTATACGATAAAAAATTGAATATTTTAATACTTTTTTAAATTTAAAATTTTAGAAACAGAAACTAGAAAGAGTTACCAAATGAAAAATAAATGACAAAAATTAATTAATACCGAACACAATTATATTCTATTTATTCAAAATGATGATACAAGAAACAATCAAATTACCAAACTGACTATAGAAAAAAATTATAAAAAAAATATTTGAAAAAGTATTAGGCTTCTTACATATTTACATCTCTACGTAAAAATATTTAGTTAAATATATTAGACACTTATGTAAGCAAAATAAATAATTAACATGTGCTTTAGATTTGAGAATAATATATAAAAAGAATATTTTAGACAACAAAATCTGCCTAAATCCAACCTTTTAAAACCTTAAACACAAATCTTGGACCCTACATCTTATAAAATCTGATGATTTTTAAACACACAAAATCATAATAATAATAATAATAATAATAATAATAATAATAATAATAATAGTAATAATAACTTTAAACTCTAAATCATAAGAAAAAATCTCAATTCCTAGAACCTAAAAATCTCAATAGATATTAGAAACATTTATATTTATTTAAACAAATAGATAAAGAAAACAAATTTAATTTAAATATTGCAAATGAAATTATGGACAACAAGAAATATATATAGCTGAATAGTCTCTAATTGAAAGTATTTTATTGTTCTAAAAAAATTGTAAGCATTTTATTTACGATTTAAAATTTTATAAGCATTTTCGTTGATTTTTTTTATATATGTTTCATATAATATTAGGTCGATCCAGGCCTAATTCAAAATCCGATCAATGAAAAATAAATGTAAGAGTTGTCTTTCTTTTTCATATCGCAACATGTTATGCGGTCCTGAGATAGTTCTAGATAGGAGAAATAGAGATTTATTAAAATCATCGATTTTAAAATATGATAGAGTAGATATGGTCCAGGGTGGGGAACTATAATCGGGTGGACTACTAATAAATAACAATATACACAAATGAGCAAAAGCGAGCATAGCGCAACGATATTTGAACCAAGAAGTTGTGAGTTCGAATTTACTCCCTAAAAAACAATACACACAAATGCTATGGTGTAAAAAACATTATTTAGAGTATTATTTAATAATTATCTTTTTTTTAATAAGTTAAATATGTAGTTTCTATATTTTAATATTAGAAAAAGAGAGACTAAAATATGATTTTAGTTCCAAAAATTTATTATCTAATAAATAATAATTAATTTTATCCACGTCCCCATTTGACTGAAAACATTCCCTCAAATTTAAATTAATTATATAGTCAATGCTTACCACTAAAACTCGAATTAAGAATTAACAAAAGAAATAACGTGATTTGTTTCATTATCTTTTAAGTTTTAACATCTATATATAATCTTGAATTTATTAGAATTTGAAAGACTTAAAAAATCTCAAAACAAAATTGAGAAACAATAAACTTCAACAACCAAAATTATGTTTTAAATTAGGGTAAACAATAAACTTAAACTCCCAAATACGGTTTATCTGTGGAAGCACCAATCCTTGGAATCAAAAGCAAGACCACATGCAGACATGAGAAGGGCTAGTGCCTGTAATTACCACTATGCCAGAGAGATTTTGAAAATTAATTTGAATTTTATATACATATTTTTATTTGAAAAAGTTCAGACGGCTCAAATCTCCTCTGGACCCTACGTAGAGCCAAGGGCCTTGGCTCTACAYTTTTAGTCGGAGTCTTATGGGTTAAAAACATATTTTTAACTTTTTTTTCCGGTTAGAAAAAGAAGAAAAAAAGGAAAGTGATTTTTTTCTCCAAAAATGTTAAAGATGGGAAATTGCGCAGAGGGGAATTTTGAAGTATTCAACTTGAAAATTTCCATATTCATAGGATAATACTTAACCAAAAAGAAACATAAAGAACTTAATAAAAGCAAAAAAAAAATAAAAATGAAGAAAGTGGGGCAGGGCGGGCAGGGGCAATTCGCTGCCATTTCTTTGATCTTCCGAACCCAAAAGACCCAAATTTGCATTCCCCTCTATCTTTCTCTCCCTTAGTCACTTTCTCAGTATCCAATCAAAAATCGTAATCGAAGCCGAGAAATCAAGTTGTGAGCCCATTTAAAGGAGCAAGCAGCCATTTTTAAACTCTTTTTTTTTTTACTTTACTCAGCTTCAAGTTCATGCCCTCTATAGCCCGAGCCGATCATCAGATGGAGCCGCCGCCGTCGCCCAATTCGTCCCAGAATTCCAAGTCTTCTTTTTCCCATTTCTTTTTTATGCATTTTCCTTCTATCAGTCTTGTTTTTATATGCTTTTCTTTACTTTCTCTTTCCCTCTCCCTCTCTGTGTCGCTTGCTATTCTTCTTCTTCTCTAATCTATCCGATTGTTTTTCTCGCTATGACACCAGGACAAAACTACTATCTGGTACCGGTTCTGGGTCGATGAAACCTCAGGTTTTACGACACTCGCCGCTGATTAATCGGCCTCCCAAAATGCTCAAGAATAAAGGGGTATATTGTTGGTCTCTCCCTCTTTTTGATTCTTTTTTTTTTCTTTCGTCGAACATTTTATTATCAATCGATGATTGTGGTTTGATCAGCGAGTCTGATGTTTCTCATTTACGTGGGTTATTGGGTTGACTCAATTTCTATGTTTTCCGACTTTTTGAGACTGACCCACTGCAAATGATTGGAATTTATGAGTTGGGTATGGTCTTTTGAGTGGATTGTCTGTGAACTCTTGTTTGGAATTGTGGGGATTACGATCGTGTTTTATGTGTGTAAGCTGTTTGTTGATTTGGAGTTAGTGTTGTTATAGTTTGTGTGCCACATTGTGTAGCTTTTAAATTGTTTTTTTGGCCATTTCTATCAGTGCATTCTTGGGTTTTGATCAGACATTCCCCTGAGTGGAAGTGACTTTTGGTGGTCGCTTTCTACTGCACCAGCCTCAATTATCAGATACTTCTAGCGTATGAAAACTTGTAAACACCTATTCATTTTTGCTCTGATCAAATGAAGAAGTAGAACAAGTCCTACAATGACTCCCTTCCCTTTTATTCTTTGAGCTTGTCACTTTTATGGTTTTCAGTCTTCTATTTTCATCTCATTTCTTTGTGCATTTGTTTGTAACTCATTTGGTTCTCTCATTTTTCTACCCATGCCACTACACTTTGTACATAGTTTTGGTTGATCACCTTGATTGTTCAATGACGAGTTGAAGCGTGGTTATATCTATTCTCTAATCCTTCTTTGTCCTGACCCTCCCCTTCCAGATTCAATCAGTCGAAGTGATTGATGTTGATAAAGATGAAGATTTCAATAATGTCATATATATTCATGACGGTGTTGAGAACAATGACAAAGGAAAGGGTATATATCACAATAGTGACCATGAATTGCAGGTTTGTTATCAAAGTATTGGTTCATTGCCTGATTGGTGTCTTCTTACACGTCTATGTTGTCCCTTCTTTTTTTATTTTTAATACCACCGGGAATATAAACTAGCAAAAAAAGCCAAAATCTAAAGATTTATTATGGAACAAATCCCCAGAGCAACTACAGCTTTTGATTTTTCCCCTCTATTTCTTCTGACAAAATCATACAATAAATTGCTGAAACTGCAGATTTCCAGAATTAACTTTTCTCCCCTTATATTTCCATAATTTCTTCTCCAAAAACGATCTTAAAATACTTTCTGTTTGGGAGCACACAACTTTTAGTTTTTGCTTTCGTTTCAAAGTTATTTGTACAAATTGTGATCCGGTGGCTTGTGAAGATCAAGGTACACAGGCTTACGATTTTGAAAAAAAACAACTCAGACTTCTTCTCTTAGAATAGACCGTTTGTCAAAGAAAATAATAGAAACAACTATAAACTTCTACTAAATTTTGATAAAAAAATATTCCTCCCCTAAAATGGCTTTAAAACAAGCTGAAGTGCATATTTTCTATTAATGATCAAACCCTAAGAAGAGTAGCTTCACAATAGAATCTCTATAACTTTTACCCAAAATCACTTTTTTAAACAGAATCAAGGTTCCAGTACCCAAACCATTCTCTAGTTTAAGTTCAACAACATTTCTTCCCATCTAACCAAGTGATCCTTTACCCCGTCTTCCTTTATGGGAGAAGTCACTCAACATACTTTCAGTTGAATTAACCTTAGAAGGTAATTTGAAAATTGGAAGTTGTTAAAGGAAGGGTAAGTTTTCTAAATTGAAACAACCATAGTAAGCTTGCTACTCCTGTTTCAATGATCACCATTATAGCTAAAGCTTTTACTTTGTCCAGGAAATGATGGCTAGCCCTTCATATAGTCCAGATGTGGAAATCCTAGAGGGTGGAAATGAAGTTGAATCTGCTTTTCCCTCAGCACAACATAATGTGATTGACCTAGATAATCACTATTCTGATTCATCAAATGGAGATGAGTGGATTCCTTTTGATGAAATCATGGATGTGGATGAATATTCAGCTCTGCAAGCCCATTTTGATCATATGGATATTCCCCCCGATATTGAAGCACCAATACCTTGGCTGCCTCATGGTCAAAATAGACATAAGTCCATCTTTGGAACTAGTTCATCATTTGCAGAATCACAAATCAACCCAGGTTCTGTTAATCAGCTAGGAAATTCACCTGCTCATGCTAAGTTGAAGGCGACTTTAGCAAATAGCCTAAACTTGCAGGCTGAGATTGACATTGTGAATCATCCTCCTGAAGGTACTGAACCTTTTACTTCGTTTACTTCACAAGATGTCCTACCTAATAAGAAATCAGTTGCATCCCGTTACCGGGACAAATCTGGTTTACCTCATGAGGTTATAAACTCTTTACTTGGTGCTGAAGCAGCTAAAACTCGGTGGTTTTCAGATCCATTCAAGCGTAAAAAGAAGCTACATGGTTCAAATAATATTTCTATTAATCAATCAGATTCGAGGAAGCTCCATAATAATGGCGGCGAGACATCTTCTGATACATCTGAAACTGTAAAGAAGCAATTCAGTTCAAATAATATGTCCTCTTTCAATTTCCCTGCCTATATGGACAACATTTATTATCCTCCAGGAGCAGGAGCATCCTTGCCACATTGGCCAGATTATGCCAAAATGAAAACCAAGGAGCTTGTTTTAAACCCTCCTTCTGTTTCAGATTATTATGGTCCATTTGATCATCTTATTCCTCCTCATCCTCTTCACCCTCCAACTCTGGGAGAAGTTGTAGACATGCCATGGATTCAGGGTTCCACTCGAGATCCTGCAAACCTTGCTCCAGACAACTCAACACTTGAAACAATTTCAATTGCGGATTTGGATGAAATCATGAGGAAATTTGAGCAATTTAAACGATTTGATACTGTCGATGATCATTCTGACCATCACTATACCAGCAAGGGTTTTACCATGAAGCAGGTATAAGTCTTGAAAGAAGCATTCTTTTGTTTATTATTATTTATATTTCTTTTAGCGGTTTTTACCTTCTCTTATTACCAGCTGCCTAAGAAATGGACAAAGAGAATTCAGGAAGAATGGAAGATCTTGGAGAAAGATTTACCTGGTAGATTTCCACTTTTTTTTTCCTCCAAAAAAGCTTAATTTGAATTATTTGGTGTTCTTACTTGGCACACCGATTGACTAACTTCATTGAACAGAAATGGGAAATGTGTCATGGGGGCATGAAAACTGAGTGTTTTCTTTCTTTCTAAAATTTTAGCTGTAGCATATGTTATCTTTTGAAGAAGATAACAGTTGACTTCGCTTTAATCTTTCTGAATCTGTTCAACAGATACCATATTTGTTAGGGCATACGAGTCAAGGATGGATCTTCTGAGGGCTGTCATCATTGGAGCAGAGGGTACTCCATACCATGATGGGTTGTTTTTCTTTGACATATTTTTCCCCATGGGTTATCCAGATGTACCACCAGTATGTAGTTCTTTTTTGTCGGTATAGTTTTTATTATTTGCTGTGTAGTGTGCAAATTTCTTACAATTATAATGTTTGTTGAATACAGCTAGTCTATTACCACTCTGGGGGCCTTCGACTTAACCCGAATTTGTATAACTGTGGGAAAGTATGTCTAAGTCTGCTTAACACCTGGAGTGGCAGTGGAAATGAGAGGTGGATTCCGGGCATGTCAACAATGCTTCAGGTTCTTGTATCCATCCAAGGGTTGATCTTGAATACAAAACCCTACTTTAACGAGCCCGGGTTTGCAAATCAAAATGGATCTGTTGCGGGTGAGAATAGGTCTCAACAGTATAACGAGGAGACATACCTCCTGTCTATGAAAACCATGGTGTACAACATCAGGAGGCCACCAAAGGTATGTTTCTAAACCTCTTATCTTGTTTGGGGGCTTTTAGTAAATTGATCTTATAATCAAAAGTTAAAGTATCCAACTATGGTGGTCACCTAGTACCTACCTAAGATTTAATACCATACGAGTTCTTTTGGCAACCAAATATAGTTGGGTTAGTTAATCTTATTAGATTAGCCAAGTTGCACGTAAGCTGACTTGGATACTCAGGGATATAAAAACACAAAATCAAAACTATCTTAAGCTTATTACACCATAAATTGGACGGTTATACGAAGGCTTCAAGCCTTTTAGATGATATGCTTAATAATTATTGGTTAAATGAAGATTTCGAGCCTTTAGGTGAGATGAATACAAGAACACCCTTGTTGTTTTTGGGAGCTGGAATTGGGTCGAGGAAAGTCTTTACGTGTAGTAGCATCGGGCAATATACTGCAACTACAGAAGATAAAAAGGAAGAAAGAAAGATGTTTCATGTAAAATTTATCAAGTTATTTAGGAATCATCTGCTTTGTTCATGTATTTTGGAGTTTGAGTATCTTAAGACTACAATATATCTTCTGCTGCAGCATTTTGAGGACTTTGTTAAGGGACATTTTTTCAAGAGGGCACATGATATTCTGGTGTCATGTAAAGCATATATGGATGGAGCTCAGGTGGGATCTCTAGTTAAAGGCGGGGTTCAAGATCTCGACCTGAGCGACAAGTGCTGCTCGAACCATTTTAAGCAATCCCTGTCCCAATATTTGAGTATGCTTGTCAAGACTTTTCAACGTATGGGAGTCGGTGACTGTGAGAAGTTCCTACTGCCACCGCCGTCACTGCCTGTATCGAGTGCAAAAAAGCGATCAGGTAGGCATAGTGAGCTTAAAATAGAAAGCTTGAATGGCGATGGCGCCACTGAAAAGTTGGTTTTGGGATAGATTTTGAACATGTTAACGTCTAACCGAAACAAACTTTTTGCTGTTGATAAATGTCCAGAGTAGTTTAGAGTTTTAATCATAGTAGAGCATGCTGCCATATGTTAATAATACCCTCTCCCTCATAATGAACACATCTGATCTCTAATTTTTGTATATAGCCTAAGCCTCCTCCTATATGCACTGGATGAGAATGTTTTTCATTTTTAAACAGGCTATGACACTGGTTTAACCTCTATAGTTTCCTCTATTAATGCATATTTTGGATATAAAGGCTTTGTTTTGATGATTAGTATTGTTATTATTATTTCAAATTATGCTTGTTTACTGGTAGTTTTCTTTATCGTAGATGTGTATTTTATAATAATAACTATTATTAACGCTCTCAAGGGGCAGCCTAGTTAGCAAGGGCTTGGAATTATTTGTTTGGAGGTCACCTTTGACATCTCTCGGGTCTAGATCTTAAGGTGGGTCCAGGTATCCCTACGTGTAGGGGAGTAGAGTTCCGACCCCTGGTTATCAAAATAATAATAACTATTATTATTATAAAATATCGTTTTAAAAGCATGCTGGAAATAGATAATTTGTCACTCATCAGTTTTGACGACGGTGTTGATGTATTTTTATTTTATGTGATCTTTGCATAGTTGGTGATGACTTAGATTATTTTATTTTATTATCTTTTTAAATGATAATGGTTGTGTTATTAATTACCTGTTGTTATATCTATTATTTGACTATGTGGGTTAAAAATGTGTTTATTAAAATAATGTTTAATCTATCATATGAAATGATGATTTGAACATTGACGTTATGGATAAGAACTAGGTAGGCTGAGATCGAAGATGGTTTATGTGAAATCTACATTCTCTCCTATAAGCAAAAATGTTAAAATATTTTATGTTTTTTCCTAAGCAAATTCAAATCCCGATTAAGATTGATGTTTGGTTCACAGTTTTAGTAATTATAGATTGGTGAAGCTTAGAATTTGAAATAACTTGTGTAACATGTACTATTTGAATAATATGTATCTAGCATATTGATTTATAATTTGTGGAGTTGTATAGTACAAAAAAATATGTTTCATAAGCAACATCGGTATATATATTCCATTGAAATTAATGAACTCTTAGTTTATAGGATATATAGAGTTCGTGAAATGATAAACATCTATTATTGTCATAAGATATTGTCAAAAAATAAAAATAAAAATTATCTACTTAATCAATTTATTCTAGATTATATGGGGCTCTATCAATAATGTGATTTCAAATTCAAATATGTTACTAAAATATTTTCGCCATTTGTGAAAATAAAATCATATGGGAAGTTTGTTTGAAAACGCAATGAAGGGCAAGAAGGGAACTAGGATGTTGAAACTGGAAATCAGAAAATATTCTAGTTCTTTTTTTTTTTCTTTTTTTTTTTAAACAAAATTTTGCTTTCGAAATATGTAAATGTTCTAGTTTGTCATATAGTTTTGTAAATATTTATATTATAGTCAGTAAATAAAATAAAGTCTTAAATCCTAAATTGTAGGAAAATAAATTTTCAAGCAGCTAAAATTTTGAACTATATATATATTTTTTAGTACAAAAATCTTGAACTATAAATCCTAAAAATTAAATACTCTTAAATACAAAATATATAAAAGAAAACTCAACATCCTAAACATAAAGATTTAGATTTATGTAAAAAAAATAAATAAATGAAAATGAAAAATATTGAAATCAAACGGGACAAACGAAATGAATTTCCAACCTTTTAGTCGGGATAAATTTATATAAATAAATCTATTTATATTTATATATATATACCTCTTAAAATAGTCTACTCAAAGCCCACACCAGCATTTTTCAATGGGCTGGGCCGAGCCCAAGTCCAAGTCCAATTCCAAATTGCATTAAAACATTTTATTCCTTTTTCAAGAATTAAAAAAAACAAAAAAAAGAGGTTAGCGAAGGCCTATCCTTCTCGTCTTCTCCATCCGATTTCCTCTCGCACAGCCAGAGGGCAGAAAACTGAAGGTGGAGGAAAAATGGCGACCACAAATTTCCTCCAATTCCCGCTCCTCCCCGCCGCCCACCTCCGGCCACCATCCTCCTCCTCTTCTCTATCCACTCTTCTCTTCCCCTCTCTCAGATCGCATCCCTCCGTCGTCTCAATCCCTTTTCCAACCTCTACTTTCCTCCACATCCCTTACCATGCTTCGCCAAGGCTCTTTGTCATGGCGAAGTCACCAAAAAGCGACAGCTCCGAGCAGAAATGGAGCCACGAAGGCTCCGTTACCGAGTCTCTTCCCAATGGGATGTTCAGAGTTCGATTGGATAACGAAGACCTCATTCTTGGCTACATATCGGGTAAGATTCGAAAGAATTTTGTGCGTATTTTGCCTGGAGATAGGGTCAGGATTGAAGTTAGTCGTTATGACTCTACTAAGGGCCGTATTGTCTATAGACTCCGGAGCAGTACTAAGGATTCATCTTCATGAGTTCTGGTTTTCGATTTTTTTTTTTCTTTTTGTTCGGAATGTTCTTGGTTTTGTGAAGTAGTGTACATTTATCCCTCTTTTTTATGTTTTTTAGCATGTACAACAACGACAAATATATTTTACTTGAGCTCTTTGTTTTAGTGATTTGTACTTGTGAATGAATCTCTAGGAAGTACCAGAGCTCAGGTCTTATGTCTTGTAATTGTTTTCAACTACAGAAAGAGGAGAATTTAGCTTTTCCAGTTTGATTTGATGAGATGCTTTCAGTTCTCTAGTTCCTTACTGAATATCACAGTTGAATGCAGCAGTTACTTTCCCTGCAATTTCTAATTTGTAAAAATAACAAAAATGAGCAACGATGCTGGGTTGAACTTATCAAACTGTGATATTCAATAAGGAACTAGAGAACTGAAAGAAACCAAATTCAGGGGCTTTGGAGATGATGATTGAGAAGCAAAAGCCATATCTTGTTTATTTTTCTTCAAATGGTCTGCAGTTTTGAACTAAGCCATATCCTCTATAAAAGCCTAATCTTTCATTCTATTCTGAGTATTGGGTTTTCTTGTGGGTGCATTGGGGGATGATGGAACAAATGTATGATTTGATGTTGGTTTATGTAGTATTAGGTCAGGGCAGAGCAAGATATTTTGGTACGGAGGGATAAAATTATTCTTTCCAACTTTTTTTTTTCTCCTGATAACCAGGAGTTACAGCTTCACTCTTCTATGCCCAAGGGCACCCGTGTCCACTCCAAAGCCCAGATCCGAGAGACATTAAGGGTTTTTGGTATTAAGCTCGAAAGTTAGAACTTGAGATTTCTAAGCCAGTATGACCAAGAGACTCCAAGCTCTTTCCCATTTCAACTTTTTATATTTCTAATCTAGCTCTTTCCCATTCCAACTTTTTATATTTCTAATCTTTTGATTCTGAAAATTTAAGAGGACAAATTAGAGAGAGGGGCAATTGTTCCTCCCCATATTTCTTTGGTCCGCCCCACTTAGGAGTGAGGTAATCAGTAATGAACTAGTTTTGATGCGAGTTTTTGCCTTTCTGCTAATCTGATACTGCAATACCCAACCTTTGCATATATCAGTAACTTATTCTTTGTAGAACTAGTCTGAGAGAAGTGGTTATTTTCAATCATTCTCAAAGAAAACTAAAGCTCTTAATTTTGTATTAGTAACTTAGAAAGTCCTTGGCTACATCAACTGTGTTCTTCCATTTCCCTTTGCCTTGTGTTTGATTTGTAGTAAATCTCTCTGACTGCATGCTTGATTTTGTAAGACGTAAAGCCACAAAGAACAAGGCCTATTTGGAAGCTGTCTTATAGCTTTTTGCTTTCCAGAACAAAAGTTTATTGAAAACATAGTTGGAACTTGATTAGCTATAAGGGCTAGGATTAATTTGAATTCTTTTGAGGTCTCATTAATTCAAAATTTAGAAGCCACTGTTCTATCCTTCTTTTTTTACTCTAAAATGTTGTTGGATTAGTAGAAAGTCGCATGGATTGTTAGGATTCTTCTTGTGCAGATAGACGGAGGCTTTTTTTTAATTCTGTTTTGGAGATTCGGCTTATGTAATTTCATTCATCAACGAAATCTCTGTTTTCTTGCCAAAAAATTAAAAGAGGTTACGAATCCGATAACTAGTTGAGCTATTTAGTTGACAATGAAATTAGATTATGAGAACTAGTGGTAAGAGTGTAAGGCATATGTTGAATATGATACAGAAGTTTATTAGTAAGAAGTCTAAAAAAAAAAAAAAACCATAGCCAATCCAACACATTTCAAAATATGAGAAATAAAAATTAGATGTAACATTATGATTTAAATTTTTAGATAAAATTTAAATTTAAATCCTATTTTGGTCCTAATCATGGTCCATTTTTTCATTCTGGTTAATACACCTTCAGAACATCCCTTTTAATCTTGTAGCTCTAAAGAGAGACTCTTTTGTCCATAGTTTACATAATTCTAACAAAACTTTTTATACTACCAAAAAAAAAAAAAAAAATCTTCGATACAAAATTATGACATATCTTAACAAATTTAGAAAACTATTTAAGTGCTTTCGAATTAGAACCCATAATATAATTACCATTAAATTTTTAACAAGTAGGAGAGAGAATTATAAATAAAAAGTATATTTTTCTAAAAAAACAAACAATTGTCAAATATAGTTTTGTGTTTTAACACTTAAATATTATTCATAGGATTTGATAGAAAAAATTAATGAAATAAAGAGATCAGATGACCCATCTTTAGATTTTTTTTTTTTAAATTGCAAAGACGAAAATAGATGAAGCTAAACTAAAGTCTTATTTACTTATCCGCAATCGTAATGAAACCCTTATGGTGTTTACCCCATTAAATAAAAAAGTGTAATCTCATTACACTCCTCCAACCCCATCAATCACATTTCCATTCTTTATTCCATTGATCCCACATATATATTATAATTAATGTACTATTTTTATCTTTTATCTCTCGTTTATGGATTAGATCCATATAATTTTTAATTATTTTTTTATACTTTTATAATTTATTCTCCATTTATACTCTAATTTTTATTAGTTGATGTGATTTTATTATATAATATGATAAATTAATATTAATTAATATCAATAAATTATTTTACATAGATATTATTACTTTTAAATATTATAATAATAAAACTTGATAATATGTTATATTAAAGTTTGATTGTTCTAATAAAAGATATTTTATATGATGTAATTTTATTTTAATTATTCATTGTGTATTAATATTAGATAATTGTTATAATAAAAATATTTACTATCAATATAGTAATAAATTAAATTAAAATTTATTATTATTGTAATTTAAAAAAGAACACAATATTATATATGTAATTAGCTAAAAAGGATAAAGGGATATATTAATAATTTTCATAAAAATGATTTCGATTTCGATTCTAGAGAATTTTAGTGAACAACAGAATTCTTGAAGGTAAACAACATTAGTAAACGTAGAATAAATAATTACCACATTGCTTTATTCTTTGTTATTTTGTCAATGCAAATAATTTTTAATATCGGTGGAACTCCCATTATCTTTAATAGATACTGACGTGGCAATCAGAATGGAAAGAGTATTCATACACTTGAAGTTTTCGCGTAGTTTGTTAGTCCACGTGGCATGCACCGAAACAGTTTCTAGAACCTCCGCCCAAAAACCCTAAACCCTCTGCTCTGGCCGCGCTATATATACACACACAAACGCCATCGTCGTCCCCTCCAATCTTCTATAATCGTTTTTCTCACGAACTCTGAGAAATCCACAGTCAAATCTTCAAGCTCCATCAATGGCTTCCAGGTTGATTCTCAAAGACATCAAAGCCCCGATCCATTTCCTTCTTCGCAACCCTGCTTCATCCGCTCCTTCCAGAGCTACTGCTCCTTTAGCTTACACAATACAAAATCAACTGCCTCCAAAGCAGAACACGCAATCCACTGCGGAATTTGCGAAATCCGGCGGATACCGGTTTGGCGTCGGTGAGCTTGAGCTCGCTGTAAATGACCGGCCGTCGGTGTCGATGGATTTGAAGTCTACTTTTAATGGCGGATTTAGGATCGAGGTTAGAGGCGGCAAGCGGCCGTCTCTTAACGACGACGATGATTTCCTGAGCGATGGCGACTTGGATAAGTTCGGCGACTGCAGCGATGTTGATGGCGGCGGAGATGATTACGATATGGACGATTTTGACGATCGGGATTCAGAGTAATCAGGAAGCCCTAGTTTCTGCTGTTTGATCGTGTTAGTTATTGATTTTTTGGTTGGAAATTGCGCTTTGATCTGTCTGTGTTCTGAGGTTTGATTGAATTTCTTTCTTTTTATGAATTTTTTAAATCTCTTTTCGTCTTCTTCGAGCTGCCATTTTCCATGAAATGAATTTATGAACTACCTGGAAGCGAAACTATAACTTTTTTTTTAAGCCAATAAAATTCATTTATGTTATATACAATTTTCTGGACTATATACAATGCAATTATACAATCAACAGAGAAAAAACGGAACAAATTAGATCTAAGCTGAAATACAATTACGACAAACGGGGCAGGTGAATTTCTTCCTGAACCAAACATCAATACAATCGGAATGAAAAAAATGGTTGCATTCCGGCAAGGCCTGGCAAATTTCTCCGGCCAGAAACTCCTCCAAACAAATGGCGCACTCCTCATTCTCGCTCCTCCTCCTCATCTTCTCGCTCCCGAATCTCACCACCGGCGGCAGTCTCTCTGGCCGCCGCACCCGCCGCTCCTCCAGCTTCGCCACCACCCGCTCCACCGCCCGCTCAACCGCCCCCACAACCCACGCGTTGTTCTGCGCCACCGCCTGGAAGAACGAAGACCCGGCCTCCCCGAGCTCCACGTCCCCGGCGCCGCCGTGCCGGACGTCGAGGAACCACTGGAGGAAGCCGTTGAGGACGTGGAAGAGGAAGAGGAAGAAGAGGATCACGGTGAAGGAGAAGAGTATGGAGGTCGGGAGGTCGAGGGTTATGGTGTAGTGGACGATTGGGGGAGACGGCGATTCGGGAACTAAGGTTTCCATTGGGAAGAGGAGAGTGAGTAATGGGTCCGCCATTGATGCTCGAGGTTTTAGTCTATGGAGGAATTTTCCTTTTCCCTCTGAATTTGTTTGTTTCGTGCTGGAAAAAAACAGCGTGCAGTTTCTTGAAGATGAAGGGGGACCAATTATAGGCACTTGGGAGTTTAAATTTAACTGCCAAAAAAAAATCTTTCATTTTGGGTTTTTGGGGGTTTGGAATTTGTCAACCAATCATATCAAATTTGGCTAAAACAAAAAGTTTTGGATCAATCTTTAAGAAGTTTGTCAACTGGATGATTGCCATTGACGAGGTGTATTTTCTCTTTTTTGTAGATAAGATTGGAACAAGCTGGTAGTTTTTATAATTAGATGTTTAAGTTTAAGAGATAAATTAAAAACCGTGTTTTTACTAAGGTAGGTTAGTTGCACCTTGATGCAATTTTCATTTTAAAGAAGTCCAATTTTTACTAAGGTAGGTTAGTTGCACCTTGATGCAATTTTCATTTCAAAGAAGTCCAAATTCAAACCATGTAATTTCTTTCTTGTTTAATATTCAATATCTTAAATTTCAGTTGTAAATTTGAGGATAATTGAGTGGATAAGAAATTTATTATCATCGGAGGTGATCTCGATAACTATTTTAATTGTGGTTTTTTATTTTTCTTTTTAATTAAGCTTGTAAATGTTATTTTTATTTGGAAATTGTCGTTTGTTGTTTTACTTTTTAAAAATATTTTCAAATCTAAGTGAAATTTTGAAAAACTACAAAATATATATAGTTTTCAAAAACTTGTTTTAAGAAAAAAAGATTGACTATATATATAGTTGTAAAAAAACAAAAACTTGTTTTTTTAAAAGAAAATTTTGACTAATAATTCAAATGTACTTTAAGAATTTTGAAACGAACATGAATATTTTTCAAAAGCAAAATAAAACAATCATACCTTTTTTTTTAAGTAGTTTACAGATTTTTATGTTTGAGAATGGTTTTTGTTTCCTTCCAAAATGATAATAACAATAATAACTGTTTACTTTAAGAAAATTATTAATGTTTATGGTCACGTTATGTGTATAATTCTATGTAGATGCATTAAGATTTCATCCTTTCTGTGACATACCGAGGTGTTAGTTGAGGGGCAATTCAAATCTATTTAACATGATTTTGTAAGTGAAAATTCATTGATCGAGTATACAAATGTATGATGCGATAATTTGAACCTTGGGATGAGTTATTTGCCTTTAACAATGAATTGTGTTTATGTTAACTCAATAAATATATATATTTGAGTTTAACAATAATTAGAGGGTGTGGAATTAAACTATCTAACATTTAGATGGAATGGTATTCAAGTGTCTTGTCTACTTGAATTATGCTTATATTGAAAAAAAAATGATACTTATTAAAAAAAATAGTTAACATGAGCCCGTTTAATATGTATTATTATATTAGGCAAAATATACCTTTGATTCCTAAGATTTTAAAATTTTAAATTATTATAATCTTCTGTAGYCTTTTTCTTTTGGTTATTTGTCCGTTTCTCTTCTTCTTTGGCAATAGCTTTCTAGATCTATAATGAAGTTTGAAGTTTGGTTTCAAGAAATGAATATTCAGTTTCTTGAACAAGTTGCGACAAAGAAGACATCGATTTTCAATAATTAAAAGTCAATTTAACTCATCAATATTTAGATCTATTTCTCAATTATTAAACTAAAAGGGTACATTTTAAAACTTGAACAAGTAACTAACTCAAACCTAAAAACCTCGTGACAAAAAACAACGTGAACTATTAAAAAAAATAATTAAAAAAATTAAATATTTAAATATTTAATAAAAAGAAGACGGTTCTTCTTTTTGGAGGGGAATCGGCGCAAGGAAACCAAAATCAGAGGGACGTCCCAAAAGCCCTAATCAGAAAATATCCCCCAATCTTCAAAACCTGCCGAATTCTTCAAAACCCTTTGGAGAAGGACCCCATTGCTCTACTGCATCTCTCCATCGCATTCTATTTCAATGGAGGAGGAGACAATTCAGCAGTTTCTTTACGATACTCTAAGCCCACTTTCCTTAACCGCCGCCACTACCACTTCAAGCGAGGACCAACTGTCGCCGTCCGGCGATCTCGAGCCATACTCCGTTTTCCGGAACCAGATTTCTCTCTCTACTTCTCACTGTGCTCCGGTCGAGACCGCTGCGCCCGAGTTTTTCTCCCTCGATGTTGGTGCTGACAATGTGGAGGAAATTTCGGGTTTTTCTACTCCTTTGCCGGGTGCGTCGGTTCTGGAAACTGAGCCTAGGACGCCGGAACCTGAGGACCAGGCGAAGCTTGAAAGTGGGTGGTTCCGTGGCAATAGTAGATTCAAGAGCCCTATGCTACAGTTGCATAAAGGTAATTGAATCTGAGTTAACTTTTGTTTTGTTGCTCTTGAAGCAGTGTAGGCTGCAATATCTGTGCTTGGATGTAATTATGTTCAATCCTGATTGTTTTACGTGCAAGTTGAAGTTGTTTAGGATGATGTAGTGTTTAATTTCGAATGGTTACGCGCGTCGTTGAATTATCTCTTTGACGATAGAAGTTTTAATTTTCGATTCTCAAGTAAAAAAAGCATGTGGTGTGATAACAAACAGTAAGGCCCTTGATACCCTCATCCATATAATATTCACGTTGTATACATCATTGTAGTTCTGAAATTGTAACTTTGGTTGTATGCAGAAATTGTCGATTTTTGTGAATTTCTGTCTCCAACTGGAGAAGAACGCGATGAACGTGACAAGGCAGTAGAAAGGGTCTTTAGTGTTGTCAAACATATATGGCCTCACTGCAAGGTATGATTTGTGCCCCACATTATTTAGTGTTCCCCTATTCAATCCCAAGAGGATGGGGTGGTGTATTTATTTGTTCTTTTTGGTTTTCTAGGTTGAAGTATTTGGATCGTTCCAGACAGGACTCTATCTTCCAACCAGTGACATTGATGTGAGTTTCTAGATCCATATTTTATAATGTTTCATGATTTTGATCTCTTATTATAAGAGGTTATACTGCTTGCTGTATGCCTATTGGGATTAAAATGGACAAAACTACTAACTGAATGGTCAAACTGCAAATTGCATTTGACCCTTCAGAGCCAGCTGAATAACGAGATGGTGGATTTGGAAGCAATTACATTTTATTTTTTTCTTTTTTATGTCTCTTATCTTTTTTAGTTTTAAGTGCAACTATGCCTAGGGCATTGGCTAAAAAGTAAGAAATATTAGATACGTAGTACACCGAGTCAGGTGAAGTCAATGTGGTATATGGTGATCCTCTATGAATGAGACATTCTGCTCTAGAATTTATGGTCTGCAATTTCATTTTAATTGAATAGTGGAAGCCTTTTTTATGTAACTGGATTGTTTCTATCTGCCCTCAGTTTTTCCTTTTCCTTGATTAGTGGTTTATGATAAAGCATTGGATATGGAAAATATTTGTTATTATATGGAACCAACTTTTATTTCTTACTGGAAACAAACTAATATTTATCTCTTCAGTTAATTATTGAATGTAACCATTTCCTGCAGGTTGTTATTCTGGGTTCAGGCATCCCTAAACCACAACTTGGTTTGCAAGCTCTTTCCAGGGCCTTATCACAAAAGGGAATAGCAAAAAAGATTCAGGTATGCTTAATTTATGATTCACTCGTTATCGTCTCAGGATCTTCATTAACTATACTCTTGTATCTCCTATGATATCATTTGAACAGGTTATTGGAAAAGCCCGTGTGCCAATAATTAAGTTTGTCGAAAAGCAAAGTGGTATAGCTTTTGATATTAGGTATTTTGTCAATCTATTGGACTAGTATTGGAATTTATAAATTGGTTAAAAAAGTTTCTGCTTGCTATGAAGAAATCCCCCCTCTTCCTTGATAGAAAACAATTCGTTGATGAATTACAGACACATAGATTACGTAAAATTCAATAGTAGTCCAAAAAGTTGACATCTCATCTCTTGGTTAACAGTTTTGACGTGCAGAATGGACCAAAGGCTGCGGATTATATAAAGGTTTGTTGCTATTCTTCAAACTTGCTATGATGACCTTATCTCGATCATTGCAGGCTTGCAGTGTTTATGTTTTTGTGGTTTATATTATGAGGTGGCTGCTTGATGTGCAAATTATGCTTTAAGGTTTTCTCAAAATTTATCTCTTTCAAAAAATTGTAGTACCATTTCTGTGATATTTTGCAATTAGATATTATTGTGTATTATTGTCTTTTGCCTATTTCATGCTTGGAGTTCAGCATGCACTTCTCTATCGTTTAATCTCATTATCACATGCTTGTTTTGAGTTATAGGTATACAAGGAATTTTTATTGATTGATTATGGAATTTGAGTGCATATAATTGAATGGAAGTTTAGGATAGAATATTCAAATGAAAATTGATGTTAACTTTCCATATTGTTTGATGGATTTGAATTATGTAGTTTCTTTATTTTTTCTTGAATTTGAGTGCATATAGTTGAATAGAAGCTTGGGTTGGAATACTCGCATCAAATCTGAAGTTCACTTTTCTTAATTGTTTGATGGATTTGAATTATTTAGTTTATCTGCTGACTGCTAGTGCTTTTCCTCTTAACAGGTTGCAGTTGATAAGTGGCCTCCTTTGCGTCCTTTGTGTTTGATCTTAAAGGTGTTTTTGCAGCAGAGAGAACTGAATGAGGTATGGTTCCAACTACGAATTGTAATTCTTATCAAGTTGGTCCATCCATTACCTTTAAATTGTCTGTGTCTAATTCAAGTTTTCTGTAAGGTCTGCAGGTATATTCAGGTGGACTGGGTTCTTATGCACTTCTTACCATGCTTATGGCAATGTTGCAGGTTAGTATATTTTAATTTCAAATTCCACCTGTATATGACATTTTTCCTTCAAAAGATCATATATAACTTCCTAATTGTCCTTTCAGAAGGATGTTGAGACCTAGCCAAAATACTTCTGTTTGTGAAGCAATGTTTGGTTGTGCTGGAACTGAGAATAGAAAAAAGTAAATCAAACTTTTTTGTTTGGTGAACTATCTTTAGAATATATTCTTTTCATCTTAAGGATTACTTGGTATTTTGTCTAGTAAAGACAACGAACTACCGACATTCAATGATGTGTATTATCTTAAGGCATTTAGTCTCCCGCTGATTATTCTTTCATCTGGCCTCATTGATTGCAGAGTCACAACAGCTGCCAATCTTCTCTTGAACATAATCTTGGAGTCCTTTTGGTATGTTTTTTGTTTTTTGTTTCTTTTAACTTTTTAACTTTTTATTCAAAGCACCTACTAGCATTTTTAATGAATGAAATTTCGAAGATGTGAAAATAGGTGCTTGTAGATAATTTTTTCCTTAGAAATTAGCGTAGCTAATGCTGCTATTAGTATTTGTACTGTATTTTCTGTTAAACAGAAGTGGAGTAGAAGATTTCTTTGATTTATTATTAATGTCTTAATTTTCAATGATAGGTAAATTTTTTTGATTTCTATGGTCGCAAATTGAACACTTCTGATGTTGGTGTATCTTGCAATGGAGGAGGCATTTTTTTCTCGAAGAGTAAAAGAGGGTATAAATATGAAAAATATTACAATGAATTTATATTCCATTCTCATTCTCAGACATCACATTTCATTACTTGCTATTTTCGCCTTTCGGCCTCTCCCTAAATTTTTGTTTTATTTGGTACTGTTGCAGATTCATGACAAAAGCACGTCCATTTCTTCTTTCCATTGAGGATCCTCAGGTTAATTTGCTAGTTTTAACATTTATTTGCTAATATAGTAGGGTTGCTCGGGCAGTTTGTGTACAATTGCTTTATAATATAGGATCTCACCAACTCCCTCAGTATGGTAATTTTACTTGTTCTTTCTGGCCCAAAGCCTTTCTGATCCCGTGAGCTGGATTTAAATTCCTCAAATGGGCCCTATAGAAGTTACCGGTTGACCCATATCTTCATGACCATATAGTTTCCTAGGCAAAACCGGATGAATTGTTACGGCTACAGATTTTATGGAATCTCTTTTAAAACAAAGTTTTGCAACTTGGTCACTGAGCTTTCCTTGCTTTTTATAAGTTGCTCTGATGCAATTTATTGATATTACCTTCCAGGCACCAGATAATGACATTGGCAAGAATTCCTTCAATTACTTCCAGGTTTGTTATCAATCATGTTGTTTATTGTGCCTGTCGTCCTTTTTTATCTCAAGACTTTGTTTCTGATATCTACCCCGGTTGCAGATAAGATCTGCATTTGCACTGGCCTTTTCAACCTTGACAAATGTTAAGACCATTTTGGGTCTGGGTCCGAACAGGAGTATTCTTGGCACGATAATTAGGCCTGATCCAGTCCTGTTGAAGCGAAAAGGTGGCACAGATGGAGAAGTGACCTTCAATTCTCTACTGCCTGGAGCAGGGGAACCTATACAACTACAGTATGGAAATGAGCAAGAGATGCTGTGTAATTGGCAGTTTGGTGATGACGAAGAACCATTGCCGCGGGGGAATGATGCATCCGAAGATTTTGGTACGCCTTCCTCTAGGAAAAAGAGAAAAGTCAGTTGTCGCGAGAAGTCGAAAAAGAAGGAAAGAGAAAATAGTAGTAGTAAGCGAAGGCATGAAGAAAATGGATATAGTAAAGAGAAGAGTTCAAAGAAGAAACGATGGAGACAGAATGGCAGTGATGCCAATGGTTTTAGCCATTCTGGAAGAAGGTCCCCTTGGAAACACTGATGCATTGCACGTGTGATAAGTCCAATGAGCTTGTGATCTCCACAAGCATCATCGGTTTTGGAAGACGCCTTGGATTTGATCGACCACCTCTCGGCCCGAAATTGTTGCATAGGGAGGGTTAAAGAGAGATTGGTGCTTGGCCCTGTGACAGCTGATAGAGGTCTCTGCAGGCAATTGTTGGAGCTTGTAGTGAAATCAGTGTACTTGTACGTTTGGACATCATACTCAACCAGGAAAGTGGAGCGGCCGAGTCTGCTTTCAGGTAAAATTTTTGACCTTGTATTCATTACAATCTTTTTGACATTTGATTATTTTGTCCATCTTTTTGACATTGAATGGTTCCTATTGTTGAATATTTTATGAAGGAATTTACTTAGTGAAAATAATTAATTATTCTTACTCCGCTTAGATTCTATCAATAAATGCACTCTGTTAAAAGCTTTGAAAAATAATTATCTCCCCAGATCGAATAGCTTCGAGAGGCGTTCTTAAAAGAGTTTCATTGTATTTTCAAAATATTTATTTTGATTCCTATATTCTTTAAAAGTGATTGTTTTGGTCCATTCCTACTCTTTTATTCGCATTTAGATAATAATAATAATATCATGTATTCGCATTTAGATAATAATAATAATATCATGTCCAAAACGATGGCCTCATCTTTAAAAGTTGACCATATCAAATTGAATCTTTTTTTTTTAGATGGATATGACAATTCTCTGATCATATAAAGAGAAATTTAAATTCACTTCAAAACATTAATCGTCACATACCTCAAACTAGATCTTAATTATCTAATTAATTAGCACATTTTTCTTTTATATGGACTTGTTTTAGGTAAGTCAACACTTTTATTTCTCAGAATAGTAATATTTTAATTACTAAATAAAAAATAATTATTATTTTAGAATTAATATTATAGTTTTGAATTAAAAATATCAATCAATTTAAAATCATTGCGTTTGCTAACACCGATTTGAAATTACCCAACTCCCAAATTCTCTCTGTCATGACGCCCTCGCTTGATTCTCTTCCTCTTCCGGTCAGACCAAACGGAAGCTCAAAAGATTGGTACAATTTCATCCGTTTGCTTAATCTGGATGGTTTTTAATTTTCAGTTGTTTTGTTCTTGTTTCGAGTTTAATTTCTTCAATGTCAAGGCAAGTCTTCTTGTGGACCGAAGGTTTTATTGAAGTGTAGGCCAGGCGAATTTAATTTCTTTCCCCATGATGGAGGAATTGTAGAACGTTAATTCTTAAGAAGGAATTCACAGGGTCCGAACGATTTAGGGCTAGGGAGATTTGGTCGACCCGACTCGACTCAGTATTTAACAATAGAAGTGAATTTTCATGGTCCGTTGGGTTTTCGTCCCTTTTTGAAAGACCAAGTTGTATGGCGAAGGTTGGTTTGGTTTGAACGCAGCTTGGAAAGACCTAAATTATTTGATCAGAAGCCTATATAATTTGGTTAGAAACTAGAATCGATACAAGACTATATTAACTATTCTAAATTAAGATATGATTTAGATGAAATTGTAGGAGTTGACATTCGATTACCTTACACCATGTAAGAATTTGTCATCTAATTGAATTTCTTACCATTTGTCTAATAAAGATTATCAACCCGAGCATAATTTAGTAGTTTAGACATTTCTACTCCTTCCGAGAGGTTATAACTACAAATCCACTCTTAAACTTAACCGACTTTCTTTTAGATGAGAAACGACACATTATACTCTATAAAATGAAAATGTCAATTACGTAGAAGAACAATGAATGCAACCTCACAATGGTCAAAGAAGCTGAGAGGAAAAGGCTGTAATCAACCACAGTGAAAAACCAATCTCTCTCTTTATTATGAATTTTGTTTCAGAAACACAGGAAATTGCAACGAACAATCCCAAGAACACCAAGCGAAGGCACAACGCATTCCATGGAGTGATAGTTTAGGTCTCCTAAGGAATCATTGCTTGAGATTTGTCCTTTCCTTGAAGTTTCTGCTGAAGCTAAGTCATATGAACAGTTTAGGACTTCCAACTATGGTACGCTTTTATTTTAGAGTTTTTTTCTAAGCAATTTTATTGCTTTCTAATTTTTCTTCTTTCTTGAACATATTAAAAATAGGGGTATTGTTTTGTTATGGTTGACGACGTGGCATCCAAAGTTTAGTTGGGAAGCTACCTACGATATCGTCATTCAGTTATTTCACAAAATAGATTAGTTTTCAGTTTCAAAGAATGAATTTTACCCATATGACTTTCAAGTTTAGCTTGGAACTTTTTTGAACTTTTGCAATATCATGACTTGAGTTGCATGTCAAGAATATTTAAGTATGATTGATATCATTTCTTGTAGAGTGTTCGACTTTTAGGCCAAGGAACTTGTTCTTTGTCTCGAGAACTTTGATCTTAAGAGAATGTGTCTAACCTAAATCTTAGAATTAAAGTCGAACGACATGAGGGTTCTAGTGTCTACAAATTCACTAGAGTTTTCACATCACTAAACGTCAAGCGTTAATTGAAAGTGTATGATGTAGAACCCTGTTTAACATGTAAGGGAGAAAACATGTGGGAATTAAGGTTCTAGCGAGGAAGGTCCCTTTCATGTGCAGTGATGCCAAAATTCAACATCAATGACACTGCCATGATTGTAAAATATGAACTAGGAAACTTCTAGGAAAGTTCAAAGCCCAAAAGATGAACGACTTGGTTTTCTCTTGGGACCTAATCATTTTCATTTACCCCTTTTGTCTAATAGAGTTGAATTTATTTCTTTTGTGAGATTCCCCCAAGCCAAACCTCCAAAACTTTTTGCCTTTTAAATATGAAACCATTTTCCAGCATACAAAACGGACCTTCTCCTATTGTAAAATTCTCTCTCAATATGCTCATTCATATTTTGAAACTGTATTTTGTTGATTCTTGAGTGGCTATTCTATTTACTCGATCCATCATTTATTCATTCTTAACATGGTATCGGAGTGAGTGATTTTGTGTTTGAAATCCTGTCTTGTTAATTAAATTTACCCAACTCATCAATTTAAATTTTTGTAATCCATCGATGACTACAAAGTATGGCACACGAAGTAATGTCCTAAATTTGATGGCCAGTCTGGAGAACTCCTTATAAATGCAGCAAGTAAAAGAATTGTTCTATGGAAGTATGGTAAGTCCTAAATTTAAGAAAAAAATGTCTAATAGGTATGAGAATCGAAAGCTCTAGAACCTACTAGCCATTTTTTAAAATTAAGGATGAAGTTTAAGGACTTGTAATTTAACATTTATTTTGTCTAAATGGTCTTTCTCTTTCTGCATTTATAATAATATATAATGGGAAATTTTTTTGTTGGGACTGTGACTACTGCATGCAGTTGATATTGGGGAGGAAGTTGTGGCCTTTTATTGACTCTGAGAATACATTAGAAGGGAGTTGTAAAAAGATTAAAATGCATTTTACCTAATGTGGATGACAATCAAGTTTAAATTTTGAGTTTTTGACTTTGGAAGCAATTGTAAATTGCTTTTTACCTTGGGGTAAAAAGCACTTTTAAATCACTTCCAAATATATAACTTCCAGTGTGAAGTTGGGAAGTGTTTTTCTACTTCTCTTGACCACTTCCAAATTTAGCCCATATCTATTTAGATTCTAGAGATTGTTTGATAATATTACCGTTTTTTTTTGTTTCTTACTCCTAATTTTATTAAGAAATTTAAACATTTCACAGTTATTTTTACATTTGTTGTTTCTCATTTTTCTAAAAACTTTCTCAAAATTGTATAAAAATTCCAAAAACAATAAAAACAAGTTTCTTATTTGAAACTGTATCAAACAAGTTCCAAATTTTCATATCTTACGGTTCGAACTTCTATTTTTAGAAATTGGTGTAATATAATTTTCCCGTGGCATTGTGAAAACACTTAGAAAATGAGACACTAGAACAACATTATTTTCATTCAATTTTCCCATCAAATTAATTGGCTGGTAGCTTTAGCATAAACATTTTTTCTACCAATCCAATGATAGCTAGTGAATTAAAAAAAATTATGTGTTTTTTTATTTGTGTATCTTTATGTATTATTGGGATAAACTCGAATCTGGAGTGGGTCTTACGTGGCAAACTTATCCTACAAATTTTTCTTTTTATCGTAGGACTCCACTCCACCCCTTATTGGTGGGGCCATGGTGTCCTTATGGTAAGGGCGGTGCCCGTCCCGCTTATCAAATATTATAGACATGGTTGATTGATCGAGACGTCGACATTTCTATAGACATATTCATATTTTCATGGATTTGACATCGATAAATCGACATTTTCATTATAGTACAAAAAATCAACAAAATATGAAAAATACCAACAAAATATTACTTTTATATATATATATATATATATATATATATATATAATATGAATATTAATTATTTTTAACTAATTTTAAAATAGAAAAATGTTTATTTTGTTAATTTAAATATCTTTTACAAATTTTAAGGGTCCGTTTGATAACTATTCTGCGTTTTGCTTTTTTATTTTTGGTTTTCTGTTTTTAAAATACAAAAACCATATATGTTTAATAACCATTTTTTGTTGTCTTTTTAAAAAACAGAAAACCAAAACATTTTTTATAATCATTTTTAGTTTTTAGTTTTTAAAAAGTTAGAAAATTGAAAATAGTCTCTGTCTCCACCTTGTTTCTTGGGTCCTATACATGTTCGCGGGAAAAATTATCGGTTTTATAATTGTTTTATGTATTTTTAGAATTTAAGTATAAAAAAATGTAATAAATATATATTAATTATTTAAAAAATAGAATAGGGGACGGGGACGAGGTCGGGACATGCATTTCTATTTTTGTGACCTGAACCTGCAGAAATTTTGTCTTCCCCCAATGTAGAGCAATGAAAATACAAGTCTGAGATGTAAATAAACTTTTGGAAGATAAATTTTAGAGACAAATAAAAAGATTTAGAAAAAAAATAGTGAAAGAAAAGTTAAAGACAAAAAGAGAAAAAGAATAAATTCGAGAGGTAAAGATATGTTAAAAAAAAAAATTGAAAAGAAAGAGAAAATTATAGTGGAACAAATTTAAAGATAAAAACAATATTTAAAATATAATTCTCAGAGAAAATAAATAAATACAAAGATAAATAAAAATTACAATAAAAGAAAATTGAACGAGAAAATAAAATATAATTTTCAGAGAAAAAAATAGATTAAAGAAAAGTTATAAAATATGAAAATTTAGAGGGAGAAAGTTAGGGAAGTATTAAATTTTTTTAAACAGAAATGAAACTAGTCTGTTAAAAAAATAAAAAATATATAAAAATTTGGAGACAGACGAATAATAATAACTATTTAAAATATGAAAATTTTAGAGAGAAAAATAAAGTTTGTAGAGAGAAATTTTAGAAAAA